AGACAAAACGAAAATTTTTTTTGCCACCAAATGAATTTATTACCAATCAAAATAATGCATTACTCAATTATTAAGTTATTATTTTTTAGATGGTGTTTTGTTTTCTTCATTCCCCTCGTCATAGAAATAGCCTGTAAATAAACATAATATTAAGTGAAAATAAAAGAGAACATTTTTCAGTAAAGTGGTTGATTTTAAACATATGGTGATAAAATCATCCTTATAAAGCATATGTTAGGCTCGAAGAAATATTATGGATATCAATACACCCTTTGAATATGCTCAAGGAGGTTTAATATAATAAAAAAGCTCGATATTTCTGTTCTGGACGTTTTTAATTCCGCATATAACTTTGGGTGGGGTTTAATGGTCACCATTTTCTATTTATCATCTATTGTTTATGTACCTGTCATGACTGATACCAGTCAACACAATTATTTTCTCAGCAGGTAAGCTAAACATAAGCATATCATGATGGTTGCATAATTTCGTGACTTTTGTGATCAAGAATTGTAATAGTTATAAGGGTTTTCAGATAAATAAACTTATAAACTCTGACAGATTCAGATGTAAGATAGTGATCAAAATTTGTTCTTTTCCCTCACTCCTTATTCAGCTATAAACCATAGTGTCATGTTGAAGTAGATCAGTAAATAAATTATTCTGTAGCGAATGAGAGTATACAAGATGAATAAGAATCTTGTTGACTACGAAGTATGCAGCTTGAATTTCAAGTAAATCATTCGTGATATTTCTTGGAGTAAATTTTTTTATAAGTATTGTATTAAAGACAAGTTAGCTAAATTAAAAATCCTTGCCTATAGAAAATTACAGTGTAAAGAAAGCAATATTTATGATAAAAACATAAATTCTGAATCACAAATATTCATCATAGATAGACTTAAGTTAGATAATCGTTGATATCTAAAGAGGATTGAACTACTGGAACATCCTGGATTCTGATTTCTTGCACTCAAAACAAAGCTCGGTTTCATGTCAAGGACAATATTAAACAGTTTGTCTTGGTTTTCTATAATTCTCTAGCTGATACCGATATGTAGTAAATAACTAACTTTAAAATGAAAAGTCAACCTCGCCTGGTTAACTAGTTCACTACTTACTAGCCTGTCCTAAGCCCCCGTAAAGAGGGAAGGTTGGGCATAGGCCAGGCAACCCTACCCGGAAAACAAATCTAACCGCTAAAAAAACTTCAAAGCACAAACGATATATAAAAAATAATAACAAAATTATTCCTCTCTGGAATCGGAGAGGCGAAATGACGCCAGTTGGTGAAAACCTTCGGTAAGCCAATTGGCCGATGTGTCTTCTCTCCCTCGATGAAAGCGAAAGTAAACCTGGGGATATGGAATGTCCGCGCGATGTTTGAACCCAGCAAGGCAGCCCAGATTGCAAAAGAGATGAGGAGGTATCACATTGAAGTGCTTGGAATTTGAGAAAGCAGATGGAATGGGAGTGGACTCTCCAAACTGTCAACTGGAGACTCAATAATCTACTCTGACATTGTCACACAGACGACAACCACGAGCACACTGGGTGTTGGAGTGGCTATCATGATGTCCCCAAGAGCATTGAACGCTCTCATGCAATGGGAACCCATCTCCTCCTGCAGGATCATGACAGCAAGATTCAACTCAAAAGCAAGGAAGGAAGGTCACAATCATACAGAGCTACGCTATGCACCTACAAGTAATGCAGAGCAAGAGAAAAAGGAGGAATTCTACAGACAACTTCAATCAACACTGGACAAGACGTAAGTTGGCGATATCAAAATTCTAATGGGTGGGGCGACATGAATGCCGAACTGGGAGGGGAAAACAAAGGAAGAGAACTAACCATGGGTCGAGAAGCGCTAGGTGAGGTGATGAACGAGAATGGAGAATTGTTTGCAGAATTCTGTGCATTCAACGATTTGGTGATTGGAGGCCAGGCAGTGTGTTCAAGCACAAGGATATTCACAAAGCGACATGGATTCGATTTCACCAGATGGACACACTACACTAAAAATCAGATCGACTTTATCTCAATAAGAAGAAGGTGGATACGCAGCCTACTTGACACAAGGTCAAGAAGAGGAGCAGATGTAGGTTAAGACCGTTATTTAGTGCAAGGAACCTCCCAAATCAAGTTAAAAGCCTTCAAGGAAGCTAGTGATAGACCTCAGTATCAAATAACGAGGTTGCTATCTGGGAAGAGATCAACACAGATGAAACCAATAAAAGATGAAGAAGGAAATTTAATTACGAAAGAAGAGAAACAGAGGAAACAATGGGCCGACCGCTCCAAAAAGCTCTTGAATCGACCACCACCACCACCACCTGCACTTCGTCCAGAAATACCACCTACAGCCCAGCCGCTGAAATACAAGTGAACATAAATCCTCCAATAAAAATGGAAGTCCTGAGCACCATAAAGCTACTGGAATGCGGGAAAGCAGCAGGACCAGATGGGATACCGCCAGAAGCACTGACAACAGACGCAGAGACAACAGCGGACATGCTCACACCACTATTGCAGAAAGTGCGGAAGGAAGAGAAGGTACCTGGCTAGTGATTGGAAGAAGGGTTACCTTGTCAAACTGCCGAAGAAGGGAGACCTCAGTGTTTGCAAGAACTGGCGCTGAATCACTCTCCTGTCCACCCAGAGCAAGCAAAATATTAAGCCGCATCATCCTGGAGAGGCTTCAGGATGCACTAGATTCAAAACTACGACCGGAACAAGCAGGCTTCAGGAAGTACAAATCATGTGCAGACCAAATTGCAACGCTTCGCATCATCATAGAACAGAGTATAGAATGGCAATCAGCTCTCTACCTGAACTTTATCGTCTTTGAGAAGGCCTTTGACAGCGTCGACCGAGAAGTAATTTGGAAACTGCTTCACTACCACGGAGTACCGCAAACCTTCATCAGCCTCATTCAACAACTATATGAAGACGCGTGCCATATGCCAAGTAATTCACAATGGGAAGCTCAGTGATGCCTTTGGGGTGAAGTGAAGACAGGAGTGAAACAAGGTTGCCTACTATCCCCCATGATATTCCTGATTGTGGTCAACTGGACTGGATCATACAGCAAACAGTGGGGAGCTGTGAGAAAAGGGGGATACGCTGGCTGGACTGCGGAAAAGAACCTAGAAGACTTGGATTTCGCCGATGACTTGTTTCTGATGTCACATAAACTTGAAGATCTGCAGACGAAAACTAACAAGTTGGTAGAAGAGGCAAGGCAGCGAAGACGGGACTTCAAGTGAATATACAGAAGACAGAGGTGATGAAGATACCGCACCAACAACTCCAACAACAACAACAAACTCCAATCACCGTCAACGGGAGAAACTTAAAGGAAGTAACCTCCTTCAACTTCACCTATCTAGGCAGCACTGTTTCAACTACAGACTGTGGCGGCACAGACGAGGATGTCAAAGTCAGAATCGGAAAAGCAAGACAGGCGTTCATTAGCTTGAAACCAGTGTGGAGATCTTCTGCACTCAGCATGTGGAACAAGATGCTGATTTTCAATACTAAGTCGGTCAGATCAGTACTTCTGTATGGTTCAGAGACTTGGCGCGCTACGAAAGGGATTTCCAATAAACTACAGACATTCACCAACGACTGCTTACGCTCGCTACTGAAGATCAGATGGCAGAATAGTTGTGCAGCCAGGTTTTGTAGACTGCAGAGAATAGAGTGGAGTGGAGACGCTCTACTGAAGCCTTGTTTCAGTAGGAATCCAAGGGATGAATAATAATAATAATTGTCAACATTGGTCACAGCATCACAATTAATTCGGCTTTCAAGGTTATCAACAACTTGAGAAGAAATTTACAGAAAATGGTGTATTTACGTCTTCTCTGTACTACAGTAGTCCATGAGATGTGCATGGAGAAACCAGAATTGTGTACAAAAGAAACTTGTAAAACTTTTATGGCTATCTGGGACATAATAATCTGTTAGCAATGTGTTGATCTGTATATATATATCTCTCTCTCTCTTATGATTCATAATTTTGTTGTATTTTATTAACCCAATATCTTAAATTTGTTCCCATGTTTCTCTTGATCATACTTTATCTTGAACATCATTTTCACATATGTAACTTTATATTCTATCCAGTTAATTGTGTTGATTTCTATGCTCTTTTGTAATAAATTTTCACCTTGAATCAAATCTGTGAATTTTTAATTTTCATTCTACTTGACCTTCCTTACTAGATTTAATGAAATAATTCTTGTAACTATCCTATATAGTTAAGCAAAACTGTATAAATTACGATTGTGCAACTGTGAAGAATTAAATCGCCGAAAAAGATATCTTCTTTGAATTTTCCATTTTTTCTTAAGCAATCACTGTTCACTATTTCTGTCAGAACGTGATCACATTACTGTCTGTTCATAAGTGGGTAAATATCTAGTGTAATCGGTATAAGTCAACAGTAATTGTTTCATGTGTGCTTATTTCACAGTGTCTTGATTATGGTTAATTAGCTAAGAAAAATTTGTGCCAAACAGATACAAAGAAAGATGTTAAGATTATTTTATTCTAGATTCAGTGTGAAAAAAGTAGTACTAGGTTCGATTGTACTTTAAAGGGTGGAACATGTCATTCAGAGTTTCAACGTTAGCCAATTAATATATATCACTTTCAGTTTCATTGTATGATGATGACTTGAATTTCACTTGGTTCCTTGTATAGTGTTTTCAACAACAGTAACTACCCTTTTGCTTATTCAACATAATTTACTTCACTCTCAACACCAACATCAATGTTTGAACATATTACAAGTTGATCAAGATGTTACTGAGTAATCTTAAAAACATTTTCCCCAGATTGAAAAATTGATATTTAATGTAGATTATAACTGTATAAATAATCAGGCTTAAATGAGATATTAGGATGAAACCGGGACTTATACAAACAATACACATATTACACAGCTTTTGAATAGTTACATAGCTATAAAACCAACAACAACTTACTGTCATTCAGAGAAGATGAATTTGGTGTGCATTAATTATATTATTGAGTTCAGTTGAATTTTTCAAAATTCCTGTTATATCCAAAGCATTTAATTCTTTTTCAAAGTTATCCGATAACCAAAATGTCTTTGATGATAATACTTTAACTTGAGAAGTGACAAAAATATATAGTGAAGTTATGCACAACTTAGACTGGTAAAAATGTAACCAGTAATCTTCATATTGTACTTCACTACTGGTTTAAACTTTCCAACAATAAGCCATTTAAAAAAAAACTTAGAGAATAAGAGAACTGTAACATAAACCTTAGGGATAGTACTAGACAGAAAGTTGTTAATTTACACTACACATAAATGCTTATCTAAAAAATAGTAAACTCAAGTAGTTTGCTATAATAAAATATGCACCCGTGATATTACGCTTACGAAAACTCAAGAATGGGGAAAAGTGATGGGGCGGAAGTTTATAAGAAATTTATGACTTCTAGTGGGAACAGTAATGATAATACTAGTAATGATGATAAAAATAGCAACAATGTGAAGAAAGAATATAAAACTTCTCTGATGTTAACATACAGAAAAACACACCCAGTTGACACATCATATAATATTCCTAATAAGGGTGGAGTTATGATGACATTGCAACCTACCAAGGCACTTAAAAGCAGCCACTTCAAGGTAAAGACCCGAAAGAGTGTTAATGATACTTACAATTTCCCGTTGCTATACAGGGCCGAATTGCTCGGCCTCTGTTGGCAGATAGGCTCCTATGCGGATGCCTTGATACTGCTGGATATTCATGATGTTATATTGATATTGATGACTAGCATAAGAATCCCGGGTGCGCGTCTCATCCTATTTGGGACTCGTCTGCTGGATGTACCTAACACCCTAGTAAGTGGTGCTGTTCTCACTGAAGCTCGAAACCAGTACCCTTCTGACACCCATTGTACAAAAAGTGGCTATCGTGTCCCAGTAGCTTATTTGATAGTTCTCTAAAGTTTAAAGTGAAGGTACTGGATTCGAACCTCAGTGAGAACTACATCACTCACTAGGATCCAGGTATATTCAACCGACGATCTCCAAATAGGACGAAACGCGCCCCCTGGATTCCTCTGCTAGTCACCAAGATCAATATGACCCAAAAGATTCTGTTAGGAAAAATAATTTGGCTACCAAAAACTTTTCAATGGTTGGGAAGCAAAATATGTAGGTCAAATCACTTAACCAGGATTAGTAACACTTTATAAGTACAGAAGTTTATTCAGATCAAGATAATTAGACTATCATCTGATTAGAAATCTAGAACTAACACAGGCCCATAATTGGAGGAGAAAAAGCGATAGTTTTATGAAGCAACTTAACAGAATTGAGGGAAGAATAAATAACCGAATATTTGTTTATCTGATCTTTACCAGATATATACAATTTGAATAACTCAGCACCTCTCTAAAATATATGGTGTCCCACAATCGTTATCGCCAAGGCAGAGACAAACTGGAACTGCATAAAACCATATCTCAAAGTTAGGTTAGCTTGATAATACTATGAACAACAAGCTTCAACGGGTACGTCATCCAGTTAGCAAGATTACTTCACTGTGTGATATATATGCCAAACGAAGTGGAATTACAATTTAGTAAGGAACTCAGTCTTTAGACTAATATTAGGCATACGCATTCACTAAACATGTGCATGGTATTCGAAATGCATAGATGAAAGCAACTTACTTGGGCTTTTTGCATCTTTTTGTGCTGGAAATAATGTTCTTAGCATATGATCCAAATCAGTGTCCTTATCCAGAAACTTCATAATTTTCTCATTGTTAAGTTTTTCACTCCTTGGTGCTGTAAACCATGATGTTTCTGTTTCTATCCCATCTTTATCTGTCAAAGTAAAAATAAGAGTTTTTTTTTATCAGCATTTTTACTAGTAATCGAATTTCGACTCATTATTCCTGGATGCACTACAGAATGAATCTCAGATGCAAATAATGCCTACTCCTAACTGTTATTTAAGCTATAGTTTACAATCAGTCATATTTGTATTTGAGTATTTACTGATATACTTTCTATTATCCCGTTATAATAGACTATGTCAAGTAGTGTTACACTTTAAAACATCGATGAAGTGCTTTTCTTGAAAATAAATTTATCCTGTTAAGTAGTGAAAATTTATTGGCAAGAAATTTGATGTTGAAACTAATAGACAAATGTAATGGTCTTTAAAATGATGTATACAGTTCCATTTCTACTTCAGTCAACTATGGATAGGAAACTTTGGATATATTCGAATTTATTTTAACACCAGTGACTTTGTTGAAACGATAGCTTCTGCTAGAGGTCGGTATTAGGTTAATGCATTCAACTGATCAAGAATACCGTACCTATAAGTAACATAGATTTATAATAAACTTTTTATGCAATTAATGATTTACACACTGAACTGAAATTTAAAAAAGTTTATTCGATATCTATAAGATTCTGATACTCACCCGTAGCATCACTACCATTCCCTTTCATAGCTTTTTCGAATAATTCTCCAACATCCGTGTGATTGTTAAGGAAATTGAGTAGGTCTTTATCAGTTACATTTTTGTCACCCACTTTAACAACCCATGTTGTTTCCACAATTTCATCATCATCTGAATACAAATAGAAGGATTCAGTGTCGTGCAAATGAGTAAATGAAAACCTATTTTTCTTAGTATAAGAAAGGAAATGATCAATGAAATACTGAATAATGAACATCTGTTGACAATGAGTTATAATAGTGACGAATGTTTAGCTACGTTACATTTATCGATTTACTTACCTCGCTTCTGTGCATAATAATACAAAATGATTATATCCATTGACCAACTTTGCAAAAATGACTAAATCTCTTCACTGATTTATCCATTAGGATGTCTTAAATATTTTTGTTGCAATATCCCTATGAATAATCAGTGAATTATGAGCCGAGCTATCATAAAGTACAAAGAGTATAGAACTAATTGTGTTGATATGTTATACATTCAAAAATATCTGATCAACGAACTTTAATTAACTGTACTTAACATTTAACAGAATGTTTTCACACTATGCATTTGAATGCTGATTAAAAGCTAATCCCATAGTTTAACTTCCATTGAACACACTTAGGACAATGAAAATATTTGATGAATATGACAAAAGTGAAACGTTATAACAAAAATAAGAGCAACGCTTAAAAAACATATTCTTGCTTACAATAGTCGTCCGTAGAATTCGTCAGCGGTTTCTGATTGTAAATAACAGTCCTTTTCATAACTGGGTTTAAATAACTACTTCGTTCTCCCACTGATTTATTTACTCTTTTCGGGGAATTTTTTGTTTCATTGTTGTAGTCTGGCCTCCAACATAATAATGATTCAGATCATCATTTTTGGCTAAGAAAAGTAATAAAAAGACGTTACAAAAGAATTCAGGTTATGTTTAAAATGAAAAACTGCAGATTTCACATTTTCAGATAATTCTGCATCAAAAATCCTTGAGACTTATGATATCACATAAGTAGGCAATATAAAATAGGTTCATCAGAAAAAGTAACTTCGGTGCAAATACATGGGTAGCGATTCGAAGTACTTCGTCAGAAACAAATCATTCTAGGATCGGCAGAAACTTGAGAAGATTAAGATACATAAGCCAACTGAATGGATAGATACGTCATACCATGGGAGATAAAAAAAATTTACATCAGGAGTTAACAGAAAATAACATAATCGATGCATAAAATAGGTGGACGAGTAAAAGCAAAATTCAGACGATGGCAGTGGAAAATAGTTCAAGAAATCAGAACAAAGCCGTAAAATAAGAAGTCAGAACAAACCAAACAAAGATAATAGAAAAATAAACTCTAATACAACAGAAGCAAAAGAACGGAAACCATGAAAAAAGTGAAAAAGTATGCCAGCCAAAGAAGAAATACAGATAAAAGGAAAAGGGCATATCGCTCAATATTGAAAGATGTGTGATGGAATGTAGGAGAAAGCGAGCCACCGAGAAATATATGAAACGTTGCGAGAGACCCAGAAAAAAGAAGCAGAGAGAGAGATAGAAAGAGAGGAGCAGAGAGAAGAGAAAGCTAAAGTGAAGGAAAATTGAATTCATGAATCAAGGGGAGTATGAGAGATAGATTGTCATTGTCCGTGTGTCTGTGTCTGTGTCTGTGTGAGTGTCAGTGTTTGTGTTTGTGTTTGGGCTTGTGTGTGGTGTTGGTGATGTGTTGTTTGTGGGTTGTTGTGGTTGCGAGTGTGATAAGTTGCAGTGGTGGTGCGGTGAGTGTGTCCTCGTGTTTGTGGAGAGCGTGCGTCGTGGTAGTGTGCTGGAATGGTTCAAGTGAGTGGGTGAATCAGCGATGTGGAATTTCGTTTGTGTGTGTGTGTGTTGATGGTGCAGGTGTGTTTGTGAGTGTGAGTGTGTGAGATGTCATGTTGTGTGTGAGATTTTGGTGCGTGTGTCTCGAGCGTTGAGTGATGAAGATGGAGGTGTGGTGGTAGCAGTGACATGGCGTTGCACGCAACACTTGTGAATGTGTACAGAGGAGTGGGTTTGTGACTGAGACTTACGTGGAGGTGAGTCAGTGTCTGGTGGTGATCCGGTTCGTCTGGCGGCTGGTTGTGTTGCATGTCGAGGCCGTCTTCTTCGCTTGCCCGACTTGTCTACGTAATAGATGTAGAGGTCGTCGTCCTCTGGTGTCGTCTTCGAAGGCTGTCCGACGGGTGTTGTTCGTCCGGCTTCTACAATGGCAAGCAGACACACACATACACAGAGAGGCACAGTGTGAGAATGACACAGAAGAGATATGTGTAACGGGAGAATGATCTGAAAATCCCTGCCGATCACCCTTATTTGATTGTATTGATATTTATTTTAACATTTTCACCCTCGTTATGGATGGTGTACCTTTGACCCTCGCCGGTGTAATGTTATTTGCTTGTTTAACTGTCTTATTTGACTTTACACTCGGTATTTGCCTTTGTATGTTTGAGACTTATTATGAGTGTTTCACTTTCCTATTATGTGACGCTGGACTGTTGATAAGGTGATGTTGTTTTACTGCGCACGACATTTTGTTTTGGTTCAACTTACGGTTGTGCAGTGATTTGACTGTTTGTCTTTTGACTGTCTACTGGGAACGTTTGTTTGTTGATTTGATTCCTGTAGGCAGAGTTTTGATCCCTTTTGCCGGGAATATTCCTATTGACCGACAGGTATTTAACAGTTGTATTTTTTAACCAGTTTTTACCGTGTAGTACGTATTTGTACCCGAGAACGTTTTGGACTGTATAGTTACCCAACGGCACTGTTGAGGTATTTTTGTAATTTGACATAACTTATTGTTGCTTTGATAGTACCACAGATTTTGTTACGAATCTACTATTGAATTACTACAAACCGTGTTTTGATATTTCGATCCAACCTTTGACTGTGCGTCACTCGCGGAAGTTAGGAAGCTATACAGTAGAACGCAGGAACTAGTCAGATTCACGTCAGTTGGCACCGCCTAGCTATTTCCCGCGTTCAGGCCAAGATTATTGGATTCTGGCCGCTACAGTACTCAACAACCCGTCACTGCTGTACCTGGCAATCGCAAGGTGTTCCTTGAGTCAATTCCGGACGGGGAAGGTGACATGTCCATGGATCCAACCTCAGATACCAAGCAAGTCCCTCTTGATGTTATTTCATGCCGTGGCTCTGATAATGGTACAGTTATTGACTATAGTAAGACTAGTCCTTGTAGGACCTCTGCTCAGTTGAAGGTACGACAGTTGGATGAAAGGCAAGAGTTGGAACTTCGTGAATTCAAGGCTAAACAAAGACAGGAAAGGTTGCGTCTGCATAAAGAACTCAACTTAGATGTGAATGGGGGTTTAGGTGATACCTTTTCCTTGGATGATGATATAAAGTGTCACAAATCAGTTTGTCTTGGCATTGACCCTCATAGCAGTTCTGATCGTGAAACGACTAGCCAGGCGAGCAGCGCAGAAAACAAAGGGGTTGCCGCTACGTTGCCTTGTGTCAGTGTTGGCCATGAGTTGCCGAAAGTAGAATTAAGCAGCTTTGACGGACATCCAGCCAAATATTGGAAGTTTATGAGGCAGTTTGAGCTCTACGTTGTCTCTAAGGTTGATGATGATGGACAGAGGCTGTTATACTTGTTACATTACTGTAAAGGTAAGGCCAGGGAGGCTATAGAGGAATGCATTATGTTACCACCATCTGCTGGTTATCGTAGGGCTCGGGATATACTCAACGTTTGTTTGGAAGGACTCATGAAGTCAGCCGGGCCTTACTACAGGATCTGATGGAATGCTCGAACATAGAACAAAACGATGCTGAGGCAATGTCGAGGTTAGCTATAAAAATGGAAAACTGCGCTATAGCCCTAGAGCAAATGGACTATACTGCGGACCTTAACTCCTTGAGAACTTTAGAAGGTATAGTAAAGAAATTGCCCCGTGTGTTACAGATGAAATGGGCGGAGACTGTCGAAAAGCTAACTGAAACCGAACGAGAACCTACCTTCGCAGAGTTAACGCAGTTTGTGTCAGCACGTGCGAGCATTTTGCTAAGTAGGTTTGGACAGCTGGCAACAAGCAGTCGACGACCAGATAGTAAAATAGCATGTTCCACGCAGCAGCTAGTACCCGTTGGGGGAGTCCTGAAACCTTCATGTATATTTTGTGGAGGGAACCATGTAGTCACAAAATGTACCACATTTCTGTCGTTACCGGTGGATGAGAGATGGTCGAAGGCTAAAGAAACAGGTTGTTGTTTTTCATGTCTTAAAAGGGGCCACAGGTCCGTAGAATGTAAAATTCACAGGGTGTGCAGTGTAGAAGGTTGTAAAGCATACCATCACCCTCTGTTACACAAGAAGACCCACCACGCCGTAGGCGAACAACCGGAGAAAGGTAGTTGTGGATGCACTGAGTCTCTCAGAGAAAGCGTGTGTTTGGGCCTACTCCCGGTACGTGTAAAGCACGGTAATAAAGAGGTTTACGGTTATGCTATCTTGGACAATGGCTCTGATACAACTTTGATCACGAAAGATGTTTTGCAACTTCTAGGATTGTCGACTGACGGCACAAAGACTATCATCAAAACTGTTAGTGGAAGTAGATTGGCGGACTCAGTCAGCAAGCCTTTCGAAGTTTATTCACTAGACGGAAACGAATGCATACTTATAGATCGAGCAGTTGTGGCAAGAGATCTCCCAGTACGGAGACCTAAAGGGTCGATGCGAGAAAGTATTAAAAGGTGGCCGCATCTGACTGACGTACCCTGGACAGAGGTGGAAGACGGGGAGGTATTGCTGCTCATCGGTTGCGATGTACCTGAGGCTCACTGGGTTCTAGATCAGAAGTTAGGGGGCAGAAAGAGCCCATATGCTGTGAGATCATTGTTGGGCTGGGTCGTGTTCGGTCCGACAAGCTTTCGTGAGCACAGGGAGAGGGTTGTGAATTGTATGTCTCGGTCAGATCTATTAGTCGATCAATGGAAGAAAATTTACGATTATGAGTTCAGCGATTTGTACTCGGGAGATAAGTCGTTATCTCTCGATGACCTAGCCGCTGTAAACATAGTGCAGCGAGGTACTTATTGGGATAATGGACATTTCGTTGTCCCCTTGCCCTGGAAAATGGAGTCCAAGAGAGTATACGGTGGATGCGAAGTAGCCAGGCGACGTTTGGAGAGTTTGAAACGCAGACTAATATCCTCTGAAA